GCAAACGACTCGACGGCACATAACAACAACAACGATTCTTCCCACAAATGTAGCTAGTCTGATTCTTGAGCAGTTCATCAGGTGGACTCCATGTGTACAATCACTATTTGTGTTTCTTTAAAAAAGGTATTTGCTATAAATAAATCATTGCTTCTACAAAATATAAATATTTGACCTCCAGCCTTATTTCTGTCCCCAATTCCATTATTTCAACTACCACTTCTTCTGCTTTGTTTTCAATTTCTGCATTACAGTCACTAATTATTATTAATGCATCTAAACTACATGTCTATTCAATTTTGGATTGTAAAACTTTGTAGGATTCCTCAATTCTCTCATCTTTGTCTTTAGCTATCAGTGCATATATCTGAATAACAGGTGTATTTAACAGGTCTTCTTTGTATATGTATGAATAGGATCCTATCACACTCATAGGACTGTACTTCAGCATAGATCTTGAAATGGTCTTTTTGAGTATGCATACAATATCATTCTTCAATTTTCATTCTCAGCATAATACATCAAACAACTGTCTGATTCATAGTGGCCAATACCAGTCCTTCTCTGCTAATTCCTCGAATGTCAATCTTTTCATGTTTCACTTTACAACTTCCAATTTTCCTATGTTCATACTTCACATATTCCATGTGAAGTAATGATTCATTGAGGTTTACAGTGGTGTTCTTCATTTTTTTAGCATCTTCAAATCTAATGCACTGTTTCTAATGCTATGTCTAACAGTATTCCCTGAATTATCCAGAGGGTTTTCAAAGGTCAATTATTTCAGAAGTGAGTGGCCAGAACTACTTCTTAGTCCGTGTTAAACTGGAAGATTTGCTGAAACCCTAAAAACTGGAGTAGAGCATCAAGAAGAAAAGAGAAAGTGAAGAGATAATTAACTAAAGAAAGAGAGCTAAATACAAGATTTAAAAGGGTAGCCTGAGAAGACAAAGTATTACAATGGAATGTGCAGGGAGATGGAGAGAATAAAAAAGGAAGTACTTGCTTGGCATTTCTCAAACTGAAAGAACTGAAAATCAAATACTGAGATACACTATGGGAAAATCTTGAATGATCCAGGAGCATTAAAAGATGTTTAGGGGACAAAAGGGTGGAAAGAAGATTGAAGGAATACATGGAGACTGTACAAAAATGAACTGGTCGCCAAAGAAATATTTCAGAAATGCCATATGATTAAGAGCCAATGTTGATAAGGAGAGAAGCTCAAGCTGCATAAAAGAGATTGCAAAAATAAAGCCCAAGTAACAAGTTCCAATCCTGGACATGCTCACCATTCTGTGCTGGAAGACAGCCACCTGCTCAACTGACCCGAAGAGATCCATATTTAGTCCCATTCCCAAGAAAGGTGATCTAACAGAATGTGGAAGTTATCAAACAATATCATTAATTTTATATGTAAAGGGGAAAAAAAATTCCTTAAGTTCTTCCAAAAACAGGTACGAGAATATACTGACAGAGAATTAACAGAAGTTCAAGCTGGGGTCTAGAAGAGGCTATGGCATCAGAAGTATCATTGCTGATGTCAGATGGATCCTGCCTGAAAGCATAGAATGCTAGAAGAATGTTTATGTGTGTTTTATTGACCATACAAAGGCATCTGACTGTTGTAGATTATATAACAAACTATGAATAACATTATTAACACGTTGCCGCAAACTTTTAAATTGACAACCTTGCTTAGAAACATTTTTTTTCCTCCGCTGTATTACCGTCATCTGTGGCAATGTGTTAAGAATGAGAATTACTTGATTGTGAACACCTGAAGAAGAACATTTGATTGTGCCTATACAAAATCCATACCTAGACCAAGAAGCTCTTGTCTGAACACAGCAAGGGAATACTAACTATTATGACTTAAAGAAGGAAAGGTGTGCCTCAGAGTTCTTATTCAATCTGGAAGCTAAGCAAATTATTAGAGAAGCTGGATTCTATAAAGAATGTGTTATCAGAACCCAGCATCAACAACCTGTGTTATACAGATGACACAATACAGCTTGTAGAAAGCAAGGAGGGTTTGAAACACTAGCTGCACAAGATCAAACACTATAGCCTTCAATATGGACTGCATCATAACATCAAGAAAACAAAATACCTCAGTACTGGGTCATGACAGATGGAGAGGAGACTGAAACTATCAACAATTTCATCTTGCTTAGATCTACAATCTTACTACCAGCAGTAAGGAGATCTAGAGACATTGCACTGGGCAAGTCAACTGGAGGGACCTCGCCAACACAGTGAAGAGCAATGATGTCAGCCTAAAGACTAAGGTACACCTTTTATGTCTTGGAGAAAGTGAAATCAGAGTGGTCCTTGGAGGCAACAATGGTAAAACTTCATCCCATATACATTGGGCATGTTGCTAGTGATTAAACTGCCTCTGAAAATCTGATGGAGGGTCCGCTATGGGTTGGTTCCAACTCAATGGTCAACAACAATACAAAATAATTCAGCTAAATATATCCACTGTATTAGCAGTGGAAAATAAAAGTCTCTTATTTGTCATTGTTCTTTTGTTAAACCCTTAATTTATAGTTACCACTTTATGAAAATAAAATTTAACATTCACTAAAATATACTTACTGTCATTTTGGTTCGGGATGTTTGACAACCTTGATCTGAAAACAAAAACATTTTTTTTTAAAAACAGGTATCAGAGTTTGTGTGAAAAACAATGTATATGAACTTTGTAAACAAACCAGTATAAAATAAAATTTTTACTTAAAAAAAAAAGACAGGTATCATTTTCTTCAGAATTTTCTAATTCTGGATTTTATAATAAATGTTAAAATGCTTGTGAAATATTTATATTTTAAAATCTCATATCTGATTCATAAGTGCTGAAACACAAATTTTAGTAAGTGGAACTGGACTCTTTTTCCATCTTACCATCTCAGAAAATATATTTACATAGCTTAGTATGTAATACTATTTGCTGTTGTTCTTTTTATTACTCCAGCAACATAATTATTTCTTCAAGTACCAATAATGTTTAAAAAGGTAATTAAGGAAAAACTGTATCTGTAAACAAAATCTCCATTTCATGATATATTTGCAACTAGAGAAACAAGGTATTTAAATTGCTTTAAAACAAGTTCAGAATCAAGTAACTGTACTTACTGCTTTAGTTTTAAAATTAAAGAAAAAAATTACAGCAGAATTTTCTCAAGTTACATACCATAGTGTAAATTTTCTGGTCCTTTCTGAGTGGTCATGTTGGGTTCATTTTGCTGACAGTAGAAACGTAACAAGCAATGCTGATCACAGAAATGTTTCATTTCTCCACGCCACTGCACTCGCTCCTTAAGTGTTCCTTGAGATTTACAACAGTCACATCTTGCAGCCTTGATCAATGAAAAAAAAAAGAGTATTTCAGACATTTCTAAATCAAAAATTTAAAATTCCAGTATGTACAAGGATTTTAAAAGACTTGCAACAGTTTATCTGGGATTATTTCCAAATGTAATAAAACAATGTCTGATAAAGAAGAATATTACAACACAATCTTGTACATAAACAAAAATCTGGATGGACTAAACCTGAAAACTGTAACAATGAACATTTCTTTCTATACTTACCAAAAGTCAAATATCAACAGTACAAAGAAGCAGCAATAAAAGAGAGGGTGATAGACTAAACGAATATATTTCTCAAGGTTTAAAAAAAAAATAAATATTAACTTTGAGAGCTATAATGATAAAATGGTAGGCGTGCCCAACATTAAATTACACTGAAAATTTCTGATTAAGGAAAAATCTCCCAGGCTTAAGTGACAACTCATAATAGTCAAATAATTCCAATGTTCTTATGATGGGGAATTTTTATAACAGGTGTTAATTTGAAGCAATTTTTAAATGTTAAGAACTTAAAAAATATACTGATTCCTTCTAAAGGCTCCAGTGTAATGTTTTAAAACACTTAGTATACAATTATTGAAGGGAAAAGCCCATCTTAAGATAACTAATTTCATCTATTTTGAGGAAGAATATCAATGCTAATCAGTTCATAAAAGTATTCACATATGGCAAAAAGTTATACATCATAAGGGACAACAAATAATAGAGGGATAGACTATAGTGTTTTAGAGATCCCATTTTCTTTAGTTTTTTGTTGATCTTCAACACTTAATATTTCAATCAATGGGTGAACAAATGTACATGATTAAGTTCAATTACAGTGGCTTTCATTACATTTCTGCTCTATTTAATGCAGAAATAATTCATTTTTATAATTATGCTTAGTGTTCACTAACAAATTATAAATCTTGATAAAGCAATGATGTTACACTATTTCATAGTAATTGTGGTACTAGCTTTTTCCTGATTATATCAAGAAATATAGAGGGTTCTACTATGACTTTTGAAATCTTTTACTTTATATCAACAGGAGTTCAATTGATAAAAACTAAGTAAAAATTCCTATTTAGGAATATGAAATGAATTATGTTGGCAAAACAGGTTTTATAGAACAAACATACCCCAAGGTAAGAACACAGGCTCTTTTTTTTCTCCAGGCCAGGTATTTCTCCTGCTGAGTAAATGTTAAATGAGTGAAGCAGAATCACACTATAAATGATGAATGACTATTAAGTGATGCCACATGTCGGATGTGATGATCACATCTTTTTGTAAAAAAAAAAAGTGAATTTAAATATCTTATTACTCGTAAGATTATGAGGTAATCTCAGTAACAATACCATATAATATAAACCTAAGTTATACTTCAATAATGCAAAAGTCCCTATATAAAATTCTCATCAGTCAAATGTATTCCTTAAAATAATACAGAAGAGTTTTAGGTCTTCACCTCTTATGGTCTAAATTCCAAGAAAGGAAAACAAAGAAAGAAAGAAAATGGAGGCTCAATGAGTTTAAATAAAGAAGGGACACAACTCCAAAGTGAATTTCATTACCTCATTAATTTAAAATTGATAAAACCCCCCCTAGAAATTCTTATCTATTCTAGACAGATTTGACAACAGTTCTACAAAGTACAAAGGTCTTAAGAGGTTGATTAAAGACATTAAAAATGCAGCAGTTGGATACTGAGTTTAGTGTTGTACCAAAAATCATGGTCAGACAAGTTCACATAATTGAGTTGTTGTGTACCTTCAAGGGGGTACCAAACCATAGTGGACCCTCCAGTGGGTTTCAGAAGTAGTTAATAAAAAAGGAAGAGACTGCCCATCTTTCTACCTCAGAGTAGCTGGTGGATTTGAACCAAGTTCTCTTTAGTTGGCAGCACAACTCCTTACCATTACGCTACTACTAGAATGCTCACTCATTCTTAACTGAGAATAAAAATTCCAGGAATAAAATGCTGCAAAAGCAAGTTATCAATCTACATGCAGCATTTCTATTTATACAATAATTTAAAAGGCCAGGAGCAAAATCAAACATAATTCACCCAGAGAATCTAAAAAATGAAATGTCATTAATCTTTAGTTATATACACATGGCTTTTATAGTATGTTTGCTGAAGTTCCTTTCATCAAGAAATCACAAAACAAACTGGATCTCACTCACTCTGCTCCAGAGGGAAAAAAAGAGATAAAATTAATATCAATCTGCAAATAGCCTCAAAATATATTTTTCCCCCTTTCTTGTTACCTCACATTTTGTACATATAACAATACTAAAATATTTACTACCCAGATATGTGTAGTCCATTAATGACATTCATGTGTCAGTAATAAACGTCAAGACGTGAAGAGAGTAATGCTAGCTGAGAGTAATCCTAGTTGTGAATGATTAAGGTATTTGTCAAGATGGCTGGAAAGAAATTCTCAATGGTTTGGCAATTATGTAATGGTATATATATATATATAGATAGATAGATAGATAGTCATCCTCTATTTTGTGATGTGATTATCCTTTAGTTTCATATAATGCTTATTTTCACAATTAGCTTAATCATGTTGATAAATGAAGTATAATGTATGTATTTACAGTAAGAAAAAGTAATTAATGAGAACAAAAGACACTTTTCAAGTATAATGATATAATAAAATTGTAGGGTCTATGAATCTTGTTTTATATATTTACAGTAGCTTAAGCAAACTCAAGGTTCAGTATTTGAAAATGAGCAAAAATATGTTGATCAAGGCAGAAATTTAATTAATAACCACTATTTCTTACCAATACCCTTTCCCCACCTCCAGCAGAGAGAGCTGCTAAGCATTTCTACAGTATGAGAAGTGAATTGTGGCATTCTGTCTCTTGTTCAAAACCACTGCATAATCATTATATAAAGCCTACTGGTCACTGTGGAAAATTAAGGATTGAATGTTATTAAAACAAAACAGAAACAGTAACTGTAGAAACAACCTAAACTCGGATATAAATAATCCTAATACAATCTCTGAGCTAGAACCTTCAATGATTGATAGTTATTTTGACTGTCACTTCCTGTGAAGTGTCAACCACTCATTTTTGGTTGATAAACACATCTCTGTCACATTAACATTCATTCACTTGATTCCTATTTCAAAGAAACCTAATTTTGCAGGATGGAAGTAAACTATGAATATGAAAGAAGGAGGGGAAGTTTACAGATATTTCAAAGGAAAGCTGAATGCTAGCTCTACCATCAAGAGTCTTGGTACTAGCAGCCGGGAAATCAAAAGAAAAATTGCATTGGGAAAGTCAGCTGTCAGGGGTGTCTCCAGAACACTGAAGAGCAATAACATCAGTCTGGAGACTAACGTGCACCTGATCCAGGTCACAGTCTTCACATTAGAGTGCTGTTTAATGACCAGGGATGATAAAAGCAGAATTGATGCCTTTGAGCTGTGGTACTGGAGATGAGTACTGAATATACCATGGACTGCTAGGAGAACAAACAGGTTCATTCTAGAAAGGGTGAAATCAGACTGCTCCATGGAGGTAAGGATTCTGAAGTTCTGTCTGACATTTTCTGGGCATGTTGCAAGGTGGGACCAGTCTTTGGAGAGGGACATTATTCTTGGGAGGGTGGAGGGACAGCACAAGAGAGGAAGAACCTAGATGACAGATTTACTCAGTGTCTACAGTACCGAGAGTAGGTGTGTCAGAGACAGTAAGGTTGGCTCAGGATAGAGGAATGTTCAGAGCTGTTAAACATAGGGTGGTCCTATGAGTCACAGGCAACTTCATGACACATAACAATACATCCATATGGGCACTGTGAGATAATTTCTTATCAACACTCCTCAAAAGCAGTGGTGATACAAGAGTAAAGAACTGGGAATGACACAAAAAATTAGATTACAGGGATTTTTCAGTCATTTAAGGGGATACACACATTTACAGTATTGTTGTTGTTTTCTAAATATAATTTTTAAAATTAAGAATAAAGACCTTTTATCACTTAACATATTAAAAATAAAAGCCAAATCCATGTTCAAAAAAGTCAATGTTTTTTTATTCAGCTATCCCTTATAACTTATAACAAAAATGTTAATTAGTAATTTTATTAAAGCCCGAGTCAATGTTAGGTAACCAGAAATAATATACAGTAAAGAATTTAATACTACCACCATTCTTTACAGTTTAGTAAAACAGAAGACTTAAAAATCTAAAGTATTAAAAAAAATAAAATAAAAAATTAAAAAAAATCTAAAGTATTAGCATTTAGTAATAAATATATTACTGTTTAGTAATAGATATACTAAAGAGTGTGAGATATTAAGAAAAGCACAGGATTTTTTTTTTATTCTGTTACCATCCTTCTTCAAATATATTAAAATAACCTAAAATGAGGGAAAATAATCTTGGCACCTGGTTTCATATATTGCCTGTAAACATTTACACTGAAGAAAATGAAAACCTATTTCTTTTATAGAAAGTGATCTGGGAGGAAAAAAACCTGCAATTTTATTCTGGGTTCTTCTGCTTACATAAGGTATACATTTCAAATTCCAGTTAAAGACAGCAATATTTATGAAATCTCCACTTGAAAACATAAAATAAACCATTTACATTAACAACAAAAAACCACATTATTAAAAACTTTATATAAGAAACATATGCAAGATTTAAAAAATCATAATAGTAAATGCAATTTTGAAAGTCATTCGAACTCCAAGTAATTTAAAGGCTAAAGATGGGGGAAATGTGCATAAAACAGTGTGCTCCACTGTGAGAGAATTCCCCTATCTATAGCTGACATGACAATCAGATAGGCTACCTTATTTTTTTGTCTTTATTTATGAATATGTAAGTACCCTTTCACTCTCCACTAAATTGCCTTGTAAAGGTTCAGTTTTTTACTGTCTAAAATTTTGAATACTTACATAAAATAAGATAAACTATAGGCACAAAAACATTTATTAAATGCCTTAATTAATCTAGGATCACCACTTAAA